CTTTTTTTCTTTTTCTTTTTTTTAATCAATTGTTTAGTGAACAATCTTCTCAGCGGTGAGCATTTATATTAATTATTTACTGACCGCTAATTAATGGCATCGTTCTAATTAATTGCATCTTCTTTTCTTCTCCATTTTCTTCTTCTCCTCTTCTTCTACTTCCTCTTATTCTTTTTTTCGTCTTCTTTTTCTTCTTCATTCTCGGCTTCTTCTTCTTCTTCTTCTTCTTCTTCTTCTTCTTCTTCTTCTTTGTTAGTTTCTTTTCTTCTGTTCTTTTTCTTCTTTTTCCTCTTCTTCTTTCTTCAATTTTTCGTCTTTGTTGGCTTCTTTTCTTCTGTTCTTTTTCTTCTTCTTCCTCTTCTTCTTCTTCTTCTTCCTTTTTTCTTCTCCTTTCTCTTCTTTTTCTCTTCTTCCTCTTCTTCTTCTTTCCTCGTCTTCTTTTTCTTGTTCTTCTTGCTCTTGTTATTCTTTTTCTTTTCTTCTTATTCTTCTTTTTCCTATCTTTATTCTTCTTCTCTTTCTTGTTTTTCTTCCTCTTCCTCTTCTTCTCCTTCTTCCTCTTTTTTTACTTCTTTTCTTTTTCTTCTTCTTCTTGTTCTTTATCCTGTTCCTCTTTTTCTTATTGTTCCTCTTTCTTTTTCTTCTTTTATTATCATTATTTCGGTTGTTATCCCTTCTTTTTTATTAAATCTCAATGAATCCTTCCACGATAGTTACAATCACTCTTTCCTTCGATTTTTTATCGATAATATACGATTTTTATCGATGTTTCATGAATCATAAAGAAGAAATCGTACGAATGTATATTGTATTTATGGCGCGTTTATTAATCAAGATCCTCTCACAGATCGATCCTAGAATCGAGTGAGTCTATTACTTACTAGGCTCATTTATTACGATAGCCTTGTGCCAGATTATCGTCAGTCTTTGAGACTTTTGCATATTGTCGCTCAGGCAAAAACTGATTTCTTAAGGACTCTGAGATGTTTTGAAGGCTTTATTCGCTCCACTTTAATGTAACTTAATGATTAGCTTTACAAAAACATTTTTAATTTCCCTTTCCTTCGCGAATCAGTGGCTTCCAACCTTTCCATTTCATAACTATGATCATTTGACATAATTATGTCTTTCGTTTGGACTGGAAAAAAATGGGGAAAATGAAGACAGAAAGAAAGAAAGAAGGAAAGAGAAGCAATTAAAAGAAAGAGTTAGGGGTCGAGTTCAGATCGTTTGTCCTGACACAAACTCTAAAGCTATCTTTTCGCAATGACTGCTCAGGAAAATGAACAAAATATGATACCGACCACCATTGACTTTCGTCACAAGTCATTCGCAAAAGCACTGAAGCTAAACGTTTTCTGTATTTTTTTTTTTTTTCGTTTGTTTGGGGCTTATTTATACAATTTTGGATTTGTCTTTTTCCCCTTTTCTTTCATTTTTTTAATTTTTTTTTATTCTTCTTCTAAGGGATTATTGAAATTCTATGTCATTTTTATAGCGTTTTCTTTTGGTGAGTGCGTAAAAAATGATTGCAGTTTTTAGATGTGAATTTTTGTTGATACCATGACAGCTATTTTTTTCTCTTGTATTTTTTTTAAGTTACTTTTTTTATTGGCAAAATGTTGCAGGGTGACTGGAGTATTTTTCTGACTTTAGAATGTATTCATTACCCTTAAACATTATGCGCACGTGATTGCGCGTCTTCAAATATATTTTGCATCTACTTTTTAAAAATATTTCCTACAGTTTTTGTATTCATTAATACTTATTTAAAGAATTGGCTTTCTTTCAAATATATTAACTACATTGTATGTGGAGCAGGTATTTGCATTAATCTTTTTGATGTTTTATAGGGTATTTATTTTTAGTTTTCGACTTTTAAGTTACACAATAAAAGTTTGTTTCAATGTCTGCATTTTCCGATAAGTTCTACTCATTTTGTTAGTAATTTCTATTGGTCAACATACAGGGAGAATGAAAAGTAACTCCTCACTTTAAAATAATCATAATTTATTTATTAACTATAATTCAGAGGAAAGCGTTTAACAAGAGATTTTATTTAAAATTCAATTTGAGCACCAGATTTCACTACCAGCTTCTCAAGTTGCCCAGGAATCGCGTGAACTGATTTCACCAGGAACTCTTGTAGTATGGAAGACATAACTTCTTGGATTCGCCCTTCAAGTTCTTCCAAAGTCTTTGGTTTGGTATAGTAGACTTGCTCCTTTAACCAATTCCAAAGAAAAAAGTCACAGGATGTTAAAATCATGACTCCTGGCTGGCCATTCATTCATAAAATAGAGTGTTACTTTTCAACTTGTATATAAATAGTCAACACACATGGCCTGAAGATTGCGTATAAGCGCGCATCAGACTCTCTTCACTCAGTACCGATTTCAGTATCTACTCTTATATTTACAGACATTCTATCACAGATATTGAGCAATTTTATTAATAAATATAGTATAGCATAAAAGTATATTTTTACTATGCACATATGCACACATACACGTACACACACACACACACATATATATATATATATATATATATATATATATATATATAGTTTTAGAAGAAGTTCTAACAAATTTTATATTAACCCTTTAGGACCTGCCTTTCTGAACAATTTTAACGCTTCTGCCTGAGCTCCTGAGTCGAAATTCGCAAATAATTGGTATGTAATGTTTCACAGTAAATATAAAAATAGTTACAAGTGTTTACCCACCGTTCAACCGGTGGTTGCGCATTTTTCTCCACCACCGGTAAAGCGGTGGTCAGGGATCAAAGGGTTATGGTTAGATAAGTTCTTTCCAACACTATAGTCATTAATGGGTTGGTATGTGCTGTATTTTTGCAAGGTTATTTATTTTGTTTTTGTATAATTTGTAAGCGTTCCTCTTTACGCGATATATTAGGAAATTTTGTTTAAAAGTATTTTCAATTGATATATTTTTTTTCATCATGGAGATATTTAGGGTTACAAATTCTAAGTGTTTTTAAATGAAAACCAATGAAAATTCCGGATTTCATTTTGCTGATGCAAAATAATGACGTCATTTTTTGTTGTCGAATCTTCAACAGACGTTTAGTTTTATATCATTAGTAATATGGTACAGCAGAACACCACATAAATATAATGTATCGTTTTTTGTTCATTTTTTTGGTGGGGGGTTGTTGTTTATTTTGGTGGGGGTTGTTGTTTATTTTGGTGGGGGTTGTTTATTAGTAAATTAGAAGTTGTTCAGTTTATTTACAAGGTCTTGCAATATTGTTTTGTGCGGATATATTAATAAAGCATAATGAGTATATTAGAAATGTTATTGATTCTTTAGGTGAAATATTTTGGAAAAGAGCAAGTTCTAGAAATTATAAGAAAAGTGTTGAAACTTGACTAATGCATGGAATAATAATGCAACACAAAAGGTACTTAGAAAAAATGTATTGAAACAAGAAAGTGTACACAATATTTACATATAGTCTTTTGTATATTCCTGGTAAGACCGTTCCTGGAGAATGTGTTGACTGAGTCGCAGTCGGGCAGAGTCTCTGGTTGAATCTCTTGATTCCTCCCTCTCTTCCCGGTACCAACCATATTTATATGGTCGGTACTCCACTATGCAAATTAGGTGGATCCTACCACAACAAAAAGATAGGCTAAGAGGCGATCATATTAGTAAATCAAATTGCTCTCCATAAAAATTATTACTAAAAGTGAAATGATATTGGCTAAAGATTTGTCTAAAAAACAACTTCTTGAATCAATTAGCCCTTCACATATTAAAAATTCCATCGACCTTGTCGAAACACTAAGAATCATAAATATGAAAGATGAAATTAAAAGGAAGTAGAAATATTATTTTTTTATACACTGACATGGCCGAGTGGTTAGAGTGCTTTCTGACCATGAAACCTAGGTTTGAATCTCACCATTGATTTGTCAAGAAGATGACTTCTTGAGATAGCATTGAAGATAGCACTAGGATCGCATTCTCCAGAGGTGATCCCAGTGTGCGACACCTTTGGAAAGTGCCTGAAAACCATACCATGGGTTGACCCAAACTTTGTGAACTCTTTGAGTGCTAACAATGGTTGTGCTAGCAGTCACAAGTCATCGTGACTGAGGGTTTAAGCGTGCTGGCTTTCTTCAGACTGTTGATCACGCTAGATAACTCGTAACTAAGGTTCGTCTAGTATAAACCACAGTGGCTCTGTAGGTGTTGAACAAACACAAATCTACCCGAGCCGGCGTCTGTAACAAGGAATGCGAATGGCTGCGACATTTAAATACACTAACTTACAAATTAGGAAATACTTAAATCTAAAAACTAATCCCTCTTTACTGATAGACAAAATTATAAAGAATTGTTCACTTATTACAAATCAGTTTTGATAAAACTGCACACAAACTTAAAAATGACTACAAATCAGTTTGATAAAACAGCCTACAAACTCAATTATGAACTACAATTGAAATGAATGTATCTGAACTTAATATGTGATTGATTTGTTTGCAAAAAGTAAATCAAGTAATTATATATTAATTTATCAAACTACTAATTAACCCATAGCTGGGGGTAATGTGGATTCATACCTTTCCCACATAAGTGAATATAAGGAACCCGATCGGAATTAGAACTTGACTCCCCGATTTCGAGTTCCAGACTGACCAGACACGATATTACTTAATTTCGGTGATCGTATGAGAGTCAGTGTTTTAACGTGATATGATTGTAAGTCTGAACTTAATATAAAATTTGTTGATTGACTGATTCGTGTTCTACGGCTTATCAAAAGGTTATTTAAAGCCAGGAAATATTTTTTAAATTGCAAGACTTTTTAAAATAATAATGATTTACTGATTAACCCATATCTGTGGGGTATAAGAGGTGAGTTAATATCTTTCTCAAGATATCTATGCGTAAGTGAGTATAATTGGAACTCGGTCCTCTGATTAACAATTCCGAGTCACTATCTATTGCAGACTCCACAGACCCAAGCTTACAGTACCTGATATTCTCAAGCGGTCACCCATCCAGGTACTGACAAGGTTCGACGTTGCTTAACTTCAGTGATCGTATGAGAGCCGATGTTTCAACGTGATATGATTATAAGCCTGAACGTAATATAAAATTTGTCATAAGAAAAAATAAGGTTAATAATGTTAAACATTAACCTTATTGTTTCTTAAGTAGATTATGACAAACTTTATTTTAAGTTTAGTCCCCACTGAAATAGATTCCGAACTTGATAGACTTTTTCCTGTGTTCTTTACTCGAAGATATTTTGTTTTTCTTTAATTCTATTCCCTAAAAAAATTGTCCAATTCATTGCAATTCCTCCCAAAACTTTACATTGCGAACAATTTTTACGATTTTTTTTACCTACAAGACCAAAAACAACATAATGATCTTTATGGTGAAATTGCCATGTCTCCATTAACCATTCCACTGCATGCAAGGCGATAAAGCCACTAAGACGAAGAAGATTGCTCGAAAATGAACAAAACTGAGAAAAAGTTGTTGCGTAGAAAGGACAATCAAAGAACAGGTTTCAAGGAGACAGAAGATGACGATTGACGTTGCATTTAAATCTTTGAAAATCGTAATTGACAGGAAAAACAAGAAGCTGGAAGAGGCGAGAAGTATGCTATACAAAAAACTTCGAAAAGATTTCTCTTACACTCTCTTCTCTCTTTTCTCATTCTGCCAATTTTCCTGTTACTCTCTTTTTTTCTCCCGCTTTCCCTCTCTGCCATCCATTTATTGGTTTTACTATTACTTTTTCTTTTACAAAAGGTTTTGTCATTTGTCCTCATCTTCTTCAAAAGAGACGGAAAAAAAAAAGCAGACAGAGAGAGAAAAAAAAAGGGGGGGGGTATTTTATTTTTCTTAACTGCACAATCTCATAAAAGATGATCATGAATGAATCATTTAAATTCTGTCACAAATTCCTGGCCAGGTCTTTATAGGAAAAGAAAAAAATCACCTGCACACTTTGTCAGCCTTGACACTGGCCAGTCATTAATGAATTGTTCATAGCAACAATAGTAGCAGACATCGTAATTAGTCGGTGTCAATATCATTTTATAACGTCCGTATGGAGAGTTACGCGCAGATGCGTGTAAATATACATTATTTATATATATATATATATATATATATATATATATATATATATATATATATATATATATATATATATTGGTATATATAAATTATATATATATATATATATATATATATATATATATATATATATATATATATATATGTGTGTGTATCTATGTGTCTGTGTGCCTGTATAAATGAAAGCATTTGCACTGCATTTATTAAGAAACGCTTACGTCTGGCATATTTATAAAGGAGTTTTATTTTTCCATTAACCTGGGCGGGGTTCACAAAACATTCTCTGCTTTACCGTAGCCTGAAGGACATTTAATAATAATAATAATAATAATAATCATAATAATAAAAATGATAATAATAGCAACAACAACAACTCTTTTTATAAAGCGTTTGTTTTTCTTTTTAATGACTTTTTAATTTTATATCGTTATCTTCTACTTTTTATTCCTTCTTTCTTCTACTTATTCTTTCTTTCTTTCTCCCCCTTCTACTTCTTTGTCTTATCCCTTCTTCTTTCTTTCTTTCTCCTTCTTCTACTTCTTTGTCTTATCCCTCCTTCTTTCTTTCTTTCTTTCTTTCTTTCTCCTTCTACTTCTTTGTCTTATCCCTCCTTCTTTCTTTCTTTCTCCTTCTTCTACTCCTTTGTCTTATCCCTTCTTCTTTCTTTCTTTCTTTCTTTCTTTCTCCTTCTACTTCTTTGTCTTATCCCTTCTTCTTTTCTTTCTTTCCCTTCTTCTACTTCTTTGTCTTATCCCTCCTTCTTTCTTTTCTTTCTCCTTCTTCTACTCCTTTGTCTTATCCCTTCTTCTTTCTTTCTTTCTTTCTTTCTTTCTTTCTTTCTCCTTCTACTTCTTTGTCTTATCCCTTCTTCTTTCTTTCTTTCTCCTTCTTCTACTTCTTTGTCTTATCCCTCCTTCTTTCTTTCTTTCTCCTTCTTCTACTCCTTTGTCTTATCCCTTCTTCTTTCTTTCTTTCTTTCTTTCTCCTTCTACTTCTTTGTCTTATCCCTTCTTCTTTCTTTCTTTCTCCTTCTTCTACTTCTTTGTCTTATCCCTCCTTCTTTCTTTCTTTCTCCTTCTTCTACTCCTTTGTCTTATCCCTTCTTCTTTCTTTCTTTCTTTCTTTCTTTCTTTCTTTCTCCTTCTACTTCTTTGTCTTATCCCTCCTTCTTTCTTTCTTTCTCCTTCTTCTACTCCTTTGTTTTATCCCTTCTTCTTTCTTTCTTTCTTTCTTTCTTTCTTTCTTTCTTTCTTTCTCCTTCTTCTTCTTTGTCTTATCCCCTTCTTCTTTCTTTCTCCTTCTTCTACTCCTTTGTTTTATCCCTTCTTCTTTCTTTCTTTCTTTCTTTCTTTCTTTCTTTCTCCTTCTACTTCTTTGTCTTATCCCTCCTTCTTTCTTTCTTTCTCCTTCTTCTGCTTGATGCCAACAATTTTTCTCCTTTATTCTTTATTCTTCTGAGCTTATGGTCATTTCACGTTAAAACTCTATTTTCCGTACGGTCACCGAAGTTAAGCAACGTCGATCCTGGTCAGTACCTAGATGAGCGACCGCTTGGGATTAAGAGCTGCTGTAAACTTGGAAATGGAGGAGGTGTAATGGGCAATGAGCTGGAATTTTTAGATGGAGAGTCGAGTTTCAATTCCAGTTGGGTTCGTTATATTCACTTGGATGTGCGGGTGGTGCAATTGATAACAGCTTGGACTTGGGAAATGTGAAAATGTTGTAAAAAATGACTTCGGATTATTATAAAAGCAATTCTTTTCTCTTGTAGATATTCGCCTTCTCAAGACAATGACAAGTTTCGTCAGACTATTCTTGAGTTTGCTCTTTGTAAATACGTGGAGGGAGAATGACTGTAATAACCTCCAGAGCATATGATGTGATTAGAGTGATGAAAGCTGGTGCTGAACACGATTTGAAAGAACCGAAGTAACAGGGACATAGTTTGCCACAAGCTCCCCAAAGAACCCTCATCAGGTTTTGAATTCAGATTAGTCCTTCTCCTAGACTTGTAGCCAACAAAGATCGGAATGGAAGACAAATAAAGTGTAAAGAAAGTGCGTTGGAATTTTTTAGTATAAGAGTAGCAATAAATTAAATTCTCTTATCAGATCCGACAACTAGAGACCAGAAAGTGTCAGTTTGTTTTATGTACCGGGCGTAACAGTAAATTTGCTCAAATCATGTAACAGTAAAATTGCCCAAATCATGTAACAGCAAAATTGCCCAAATCATGTAAGAGTAAAATTGCCCAAATCATGTAATAGCAAAGTTGCCCAAATCATGTCACAGTAAAATTGCCCAAATCATGTAATAGCAAACTTGCCCAAATCATGTAACAGCAAAATTTCCCAAATCATGTAACAGTAAAATTGCCCAAATCATGTACCAGCAAAATTGCCCAAATCATGTAACAGTAAAATTGCCCAAATCATGTAACAGTAAAATTGCCCAAATCATGTGATAGCAAAATTGTTCAAATCATGTAATAGAAAACTTGCCCAAATCATGTAACAGCAAACTTGCCCAAATCATGTAACAGCAAAATTGTTCAAATCATGTAACAGCAAAATTGCCCAAATCATGTAACAGCAAAATTGTCCAAATCATGGAACAGCAAACTTGCCCAAATCATGTAACAGCAAACATGCGCAAGTCATGTAACAGCAAAATTGTTCAAATCATGTAACAGCAAAATTGCCCAAATCATGTAACTGCAAAATTGTTCAAATCATGGAATAGCAAATTTGCCCAAATCATGTAACGCAGATAGTTAACTTCCCCACTCGTTTTGCCTTCAACCGGGAAGGTAAAACCTCTCTTCTCGATCTGTGTTTTACCTCCATCCCTGAGTTCTGTGGCGCCACGCAACTCTGCCCTCTTGGTAACTCTTATCATGCGGTAGTATCTGTTAACATCTCCTTCAACTCCACCCACTGCAAAGAACCTCCTACCTCTAGAACTGTTCTACTATCAACGAGCTGACTGGGACGCGTTCCGTGATTTCCTCCGCGAATCCCCTGGAATGTTGTCTTTACGCTCCCCGTCCAAGAATGTGCTTCTGAGGTCTCATCCTGGGGTAAAGCTGGAATCGACGCTTTCATCCCTCAAGGAAATATAGGGTCAAGTCGCGCTCCTCCCCCTGGTTCTCCGCTGCTTTCTCAGCCGCCATCGCCCATAGAAATCACTTCTTTCACCTATTTCGTAGCGACATGTCTGACTGCAGTAGACGTCTCTTTGCCTCCGTCCGTAATGAGTGTAAGCGTGTCCTCAACGAAGCTAAGTCACTATTGGCTGCTCGGATGAAGGAGCGTATTGCATCTCGCAAATTTGGCTCCAAAGATTATTGGCGTCTCTGCAAGAGCGTACTGAACAATTGCAAACCCTCTATACCTCCTTTGTTCAACCAGTTCGAAGTACTGACCTCTTCTGCCGACAAAGCTGAATGCTTTGCTCGGAAATTTTCATTCAACTCAACGCTCGACTCTTCCGGTGTACCCATACCCGACTTCCCTCTTGAGGCCCTATTGAGTGGGTTATACATAATCCCGTCTTTGGTATTGGGCATTATCTCCAATTTAGACCCCAACAAGGCTAGTGGTGGGGATGAGATACCAGCCATTGTCTTGAAGAAATGCGCGCCTGAACTGGCGCCCGCCCTCTCTAAACTATATAACTACTGCCTCAAGGAATCTTGTTTTCCTGACTGCTGGAAGTCCTCTTCGATTGTTCCTGTCTGCAAGAACTCTGGCGACCCCTCTGACCCTTCTAACTACCGTCCTATCAGTCTCCTACCCCTCTTCGGCAAAGTCTTCGAAGCCATAATCAATACCGAAGTGGTTAACCACCTCACATCCTATGATCTGCTCTCAGACAAGCAATATGGCTTCCGCTTTGCCCGATCTACAGCTGATGTGCTTACGGCCATCACTGAAACTGTCTACCAAACTCTTCAAAATAACGGGAAGCTCGTGCCGTGGC